AGTGCCAAGGAGGAATGTGAACTCAATTTTGGAGTGCACTAAAAATGCACATTCCCTGGAATTTTACTATGTAACATTTGTGAAGTTATGAATATTTTAGCACACCCTGTATCTGTAATTAACGGTTCGTTAGCATAACAAAGCGCGTGTTGTTCTCTTCCAATTTTTTACTTCGTCTAATCAGCGAAGTATCAGCAAGCATCTCTGACCCACTTCCACCATCTGTCATCATAAAGCGCTTAGTTGCATGCAACCCCACGAAACAAATGATAAACCTGAAGCGTCTTTCAGACACAAAACTTCTTTTCAACAGACTCGGAGGCCTCATCCTCACTACTTTATAACTCGTCGCTTTGTTCTCGAGTGGCAGTAGGTGTCGGTCTCCTATGCAGATACGTGGGGATCGATCCCCGTCAGACTAATTTAGGTCTGATGAATTGCATCTAACAACAATCACGCTATAACTTTAAAAACATATTACATTAAAATTTTAAGACAAAAATTCATGTTGCCATTTTTGTGTGAGCTCCATTTTCAACAAATATCACTCCTTCATATGTAGAGCAGGCGTTCAGAACTCACACATGGAAGACATCTTTTGCACGGCGAACATACTCACTTATATGCGAGAATTAAAGTCTCATATATAACGGCCGTGTTGATATATCGACCATTTGTTTTTAAAGATAAAGCTTAGGTACATTCTTGCTGTCTCTTTTTAGCATTCACTAGCTTTGGAAATACAAGCCGGAATATTCAAATTAGCCTACGGACTACCAATCTCTCCATCGATCTCAAATTATTTCTCCTTGTCACGGGCTGAAAGGGAAGCGTTTTATAAATATGTGTTTTTGGCACCACGCTGTCAAAATTAAAGTTTCAAGACATCATCTTTACTTCAAGTCGAGTACAAATAAACATTCTTGTGCTGTCACATTCATATATTTGGCTTGAGAATGGGAAGATAAATTTACCTCTCATATGTTTCTGAGCGCCCTGTGTCAAATACCGAAAAGCAACCGCGTGTTTATTTGTTTATTTCTGAACAAGCTAGCCAAGGAATCTTCCTTATACTTTACATAATTCTTTCCGATGTACCATTTAGAAGATATGAGAAACAGAACCGCGTCCTTGCATTCAAGACTATTATTTCAGGAGTTTCAACGGATCATGACTTCAAACAGTCAGTAGAACAAACACGGAGGAAGTGCAGGAAATTCTGACTCTCAAAAAAGCGATGAACAAAGAAATTGCAGTAGGGATTTGTAAACTCCGCTCTCGCTCTCTCTCCTTTTGGAACCCAACCAGGGCAGACCATTAAACATCGCATATTGTTCATAAATGGGTTTTGAACTGTTGCAGAACGACAGAGATAGCTCAAGGAATAAACACATTTTCAATGCAAATAAATACGCCACAAATACAAACACACACGCAAGTACAGGAGACTGTTTATGGCTTTGCATGTTACCTGGCTGTATGTATTTATGTTGTTCTCACTCCGAAGTAGCTTCCATGCGCAGGTAGTAGTCATCTGAAGGGTAAAAATATAACTTAATTAATCGTTTTAACGGAGAAAAATCAATTGGACGAAATAAAGGAAGAAAAGCAAAAGGGTGAAGATACGAATAAGCAATTCATTTATCGAATTTCAACGGGCCTCTCTACACCTAGTAACGATTTCTCTAATAATTCCATGTAAGGTGGTAAAATGGCAGGAAATTGTACTTTCATACTGTCACGTATCCTAATAGACAAGTAATTAATGGGTTCCAGATTTGTATGAATGTGTTATATTTTAGCGTCCTGTTGCACTGATTCACGTTCATGATGTGTATTTGTACCAACCGTCTTACAGTGCACACAATTTCACCTTTCTCTTCGCTAATATATAAATTTTATTATTATACATGACATAGTTATATTTTAATCATTTTATAAAGGAGACATGATGGCATACAGTGGAATGGTTTGACGTAAACGAAACCACACTTGAAGATGACACATTAGTGCCGAAACATGTAGTGAAGAGAAAGGTGAAACTGCGTGCACTGTAAGACGGTTGTATGAATCTATTGATTGGATATTCGCCAGGCGGAACTACAATTAGTTGTAGCACAATCTTACTGTAACTACAGCACTTTGTAACTAAGAACAGTGATAGCACCACATGAACTAAAACCTTCACTTCTGACTTCTGTCTTCTGTTTTCTGTTCTCTTCTCTCGTTTCTTGGTCATTTCTCTCTTTGAGGTAGGTTCTGGTCGAACCGTATAGAGATCACCTCTTCTGTGGTCGCGGTGCAAGGGCCAAGAAGGCCCACCCTTATACATTTGTTCTTTGCTGTCAGTGTGCTTTGGAGATTCGTTGTCATGGATATCGGCTTTTAATCAGTTAAATTTACACTGCGCCTATCAGAACCCTAGTAACCGAAGTTCTATTGACTGTGTTACCTAGGAAATGTGTTTACCGAGACGTTGCCTAGCTATACATGTAAAAATATCATGAACAGGCTGCTTATGGGCGGCTAATACAAAACAAAAACAAACATCATTGGCCTGTATTCCGCAAGCGAACTATACCGACCGAGCTAGCGCCGCTTGTCGGTGAAGTTAGTGCCAACTTTTGCGAGTAGATGTTCAGCGCAACGAATCCACACAGCCGTTAATTTAGGTTTTATAGACCGGAGCCGCTATTTCCTTGAAAGAGCCCCTCAATTATCCTCACGAGGTTGAGTGGACCCCGTTCCAGAACCACTACTTCTCAGAAAATCTAGTAGCGCCTGGAATCGAACCCGGGATCTCTGGATCTGTAGGCAGGAACTCTGATCACTAGACCACAGCGGCGGTCTCTGAGTGGCTAATGCCCAATCTGATTAAGCGCCTGTCAATTCTTTAGCTACTTCTGGTTCTTCAGGAAAGTAGGAGAAGTTGCTGCATGAGCACGGCGAAGATGAAATGAGAATGACACCTGCAGGCCTTCCCCAATTGAAAATGCTTTATTTGTGATTGTGATGGAGTGTGCAACTTTGCAAAGCTAATCGCACTGCGATCATAAAATATTTTACTTCTTGTTTATTTAAATATACTCGTATATTTCAATGAAAATGTCTTAAATAAAAGTTTAAAACCCTTACGTAAGTTTAAATATTTTATTATGTTCACAGTTTTAGTGGGATGGACAACTTTGAAAGATATGAATATATTTATATTTGAATTTCGTGAAAAGTAGAGGATTTGCTGTATCTAGTCAGACTTAAAGAGAATTGTACAAATATCTTTGGATGAAAACATTGAATCGTGTGTCTTATGGATATTTTGTAAGCGTTGGAGATAAAAGCATGCACACAAACACACAAAATCTCTCATTATGCGTTCCATTTACTTGTAAAAATGCAGAAAACATAACGTTAACGACTGATTTATATGCTACTTAATGATGCTGTCACATGTAAAGGGTTCCGTGACGAATAATAACGGGTTCTATGTTGGATAACTGGATTTATTGGCACTTCGATTACAATTACAACCAATCATTACAGCTCATAATCAATGAATTCCTAAGACTCGCTCCATTCCTTACTGGACTACGATTCCACTGACTTACTTGGTAATTTATGAATCGGTCAATTCTTCAGCTTCCGTTATCCGCTGGTTAACACTCCACAGCTGAACACTGAAGTGCCTCTTGAATCCTTCTACTACGCGAATGCCGAATGACGACTCACGACTGAACTGTCCTGAACTGAACTGAACTGAACTGAACTGAACTCTCGAATAAATTACGTGCTCCGGGGCGAACCGAATAGAGGCCACTACCTCCAACACTTCGTGTACTTTTGGGTGCCTATTCGTTGTCACGGATTCGTGTGTTAGCGAGCCGTTGTCTAGCAATGAACTATTCCGGCTTCCAGGCCTAATGTCAGTATACTGTACTGGCTTCACAGATTATGTGAAGCATCGAATGAAGTGAGAGAAATGCTGGAATTGCTTCTGATGAAGTTGGCAACGACCACTTCATGATTCATCTTTCCCGATTCATCGTATACATTAATCTATGGAACAGAATATTCAGTTTAGATGAAGTAGTCTTTGAATAACTTTCGGCTCAGAAATATGCGGAAGGCCACAAGGCTTAGTGCAGGTAGTCTATATTCTCAGCCTGCCAAGAAATTTCCCGCTTGATGAACACAGAAATTTTATAAATATGTTCAAAATATATATGCTCCCTATCCGGAGCCTATATAATCTAACGCTCAAATTTATATTATTCTGTGAAGATTCTTTTTAATATTATTTTATATACTACTGGATGCAAATACACCTGAGTTTTCTCTCTCCTTGACATTTTCCACCCAACAGTTAAAATAAATTTCTCTGCACACAAGCATGTTACATACACCAGGGATCTCATCCCATTTTATTTAAGGAACTAATGATATTTGATGGTGAAAAATTGTGGGGCACCTAACAGTAATTTTCCTCTCCTTCTGTTACTTCCTCTTTATTAGATGTAAACGTTGCCCTCCTCTAATTGTGTTTAAATAAAATCTATACTCGGTACTTCCATTCTTGTACAGATTTACGCAGCAGCAAAATGGGAGCTGCGGAACTGTGAAAGGTAAAGTTGTTTCTTTGCTTAGCTAATTGTGAGCTACGGCATGAAGACGTATGGGGGAGGGGAGTGCATTCATACTTATTCTTGACCTAGGAAGAAATTTGAATTGAGAAACTGTAGAAGCCAAAAGCAACAGATCAGAACGAATGGAAAACAAAACAACGAAACATAGCAAGCGTAAGGAATTGTGTACAGGAGCTCAATGCAGTCCCTTCTAGCATTTACGCTTTCCTGTTTTATCTGCTCACCCAACGATAACATCCTAAAGATATTCAAAACAAAACAGAAAGGAGAAAACTTAGTTAAAACTAGCGATCGCTACGTGGCGCTTGAGTCGCAGCGGCGTCGTTTTGAGCTGTCGTTGTTGCAGTTGTGAGTTGCCATTCGGCTGGCAGGGATGCAAGGGCTCCTAACATATCGCGACTGTAGAGGAGAGCAGGGTCAGAAGATGTGTGAGTGAGACAGTGAACCAGCCGAACCTAGGGAACAGGTAAGATCCGGACCGCGCGGAAAACAGCGCTGTTAATAATAAAAAGTGTGCTTTTATTAAATAATTGGATCTGTGATTTACACAATGTGTGAATATATTTGCAGTGGGCAGAAGGGGGACAGGATATGAAAGGTACACTCATGGGAGACGGATTGTCTCAACCGCTGTATAAATTACTGCAATTTTTGTTAAATTCATGAAGCAAGAACGATTATGTAACCCGCTATAAAATTATTTTATGTGTTTATATGTATTTATTTATTCAGGAAAGAGGCTGGATATTTTAATTATTTGAAAATCCGACGTTACGATATAAAAACTCCCTGATTACCTTATGTAGAATGTAAATGACCATTGAAACAGAAGCTACTTAGACTGAGCATATGTGAACGTATATGCTCTGTGACAGATGTGGAAATGAGAAAACAATTCTTTGATATGCCCAGCTGTAACAAATGCTGCGAACAGGTGCAAGTGCTGTGGATCCCAGCTAAATCTCCACGCTGTTAAGAAGGTGATTAGCCTGGATCCGGTCCCCGGGCTCAACGATCCCCTGCACACAATTCTGTTACAGCTGCTGAGCTGAGACAGTCAACACAACGTGGTCCCTCGCACCCAGTTACAGGGAACTCTGACGTATGATACGTATATTTTCGGAACATTTTTTAAATCAACTGTTAACTGGCAGATTTTTAATTTATTTTGTGACATCGTGTGACTTATACAAGGCCTAATGAAACGTACAGAAAGCAGTTGTTTTTGAGTACTTCAGATGCTGTCCATATTTGCTGGAGAGACTACGGAAATTCACGAAAACCCCCATGATAATGGATAAATCACCAGAGTTTCAAACAGGTGACCTCCTGAAAGTAAGCCCAGACGGTTCTTCGTACTTTGTATTGAGATACGATATTTTGTGAAATGCACAGGCCGGTAGGTTAGTGTACTGTTCGATGGTGTCGGATCATTAAATTGGAAATAACAGAATGTTTATTTCTGATTACCTCAGAACAACGTCGAAGGCAGCTCTCATGACTTCATTTAAGCGATTTAGGCCCTATACCTACAATGGTATGTCGATATTAACATAAGCCGCAAACTAAATCACAGGAGATCACAATTTGTTCCTCTCTGTTTACAAAAAAAAAAAAATAGTAAGGAGCATTTATAATTTACAGCATATATATATGTTTATATAGTTAAAGGTGCAATCTTTTTCATGCTATATAAATTTTCCCTTATTCTTTACCAGAAATGCTACAGTAACCTAAGGTACAGAGCCTTCCTTGTACGACGCATATTAATTCAGCTAATAATGAAATTCAACTCCTTTCCCGTTTTTTGTTCACGCTCACAAACTTTATCTGTTTAATTGCGTTCTGAGCCAGTTCAATACAATATTAAAACAGATACTTTACGCGTTCTGTATACATAGTGCAAGATGCATTAGAACTTTTGTAGCAATTATGAAAAATTTTGGTATGAATGTCATGCCACCGGAGGCCACTCGAATGTGTACTTTTACATCGTCTACAGCCGGCAACAGCAGCGTGACTGACGCGTAATTTGAGGACTGGGAGTGACATTAACGTAACCATTAACGTAACTACCAAATTGCTGTAACCATGGTAACCAGTAGCAACCATGGTAATTAAGCCTGTTGGAAGAATATTAACCATATTAATAACATGACTGATGGTACTGAAAGTATCCATAGCAGTGATAGAAACCGATGATATCACAGTAAAGAATTATTGAGAAATGTGCATACCCAAGAATATAAATTCAGAATTCGAGGCGAAAAACGCAAATGGAAACTTTACACTCCGGTATGGATTTTACAATTCCAGTCAGACACGTTTTAACATTAACCTCCCATTTACGAACAGGTCATCAAAACTGTTTCTTCCCTTGATGTTTTCCAAATAAAACTTTTTAGGGATCTGTGAGCTACCCATCATGGAAATTTGACCTTTCAGAATAATTTGATTTATGTTCAGGAGAATACCTAGGGAATGTTAAAGCAGGTCCTTGTGCCATGGATTTAATTACCGAAAGTACGTACGCTGCGGTTTCTACTCTACTTCATGAAGCTTGGTGTTATGTAGAAATAAATTGTATTTCGTGTTTAGTTTCACTCTCATTTCCAAATACTGGTCAACATGAGAAAACTTACGTTATTTAGACTCAGTTAGTTCTGATTTTATAAGCAAACGTCGTTCTGCCCAAAGCTAGATTACGTCAACAAATTTAAAATTAATAAATTAATGTAACGATAATGACTCTTATTTCGGGAGAAACTTCAGAAAATTTAACATAAACACTTTCCACGGTACTCATAAAGAAATTTTCAGTCTGATAAACTTAGCACTTGATATAATTAGTGAAAGAAAAATGTTCTAGCACCTCGAAATAATTAGTGCGAAGCATTCATAGTACTATTAGAAGAATTTGTATTGTGGGAAAACTCAGTCAGTATAGCGACTGGCCAAGGGCTATACGACCGAGGGGTCGGAGTTCGAATCCCGGTGGGAGCAAGAATTTTCTTTCCTTCACGTCATCCAGACTGACTCCGGGGTCCACCCAGCCTCCTATCCAATGGGTACTGGGGTCTCTTTCCCGGGGAAAGCGGTAGGGGCGTAAAGCTGACAACTCACCTTCAACTAGTGCCAAAGTCAAGAAAATATGGATCTATACATCCACTCCACCATACGTCTTCATGGTGTAGTGCTTAATTAGTTAAACACAGGGAAATGTTTACCTATGTATTGCAGAATATATGAAGGTTCCTATAGAAATATGTAACAGGAGAAGACTCATTAGCCTAATCTTCTTATTTTGGAAAAATAAAATGAGGATTAAAAGATCACCTTGAGGTCTGTCTGTTTATCCGTCTGTGTCTGTCCGTCTGTCTGTATATCACCCCTAAATGTTTAGGCTTGTGAGGTTTATGAGTTCGACCTGTTTTAAGATAAAGGAGAATGGAAAGTGCCTTAGTTCTTTACTGCCAAGGCAACTGCAAAATCGAACCAACTGGCTGCAGCAATAATGAAACAATGTCTGAACAACTACAAAAATTATTACAATGTCTAATAACGATTTTAAGACACGACATTATATTTTCACTGGATGCAGTAAAATAATACCAATTCATAATTTTCTTATAAAGAAATTTAATTTCTCTTGATCTTAGAGCTAAAGTCGATAATTATTTCAAGTCACACGAAAAAGTAAATACTAAATCAGTTCTTTGTACTAGGTTTCATACGGATCACATTAAAAGCGCCATACATGCCACAGATTTCTGCAGACGGCATGGAGGTAAATCTCCATGCATTCATAATCTCAACACTAGACGGAGATTAGTAGTCAGGATTACGTAACATCCACTTTGCTTTGAAACAGATCCATGGGATAGGGGGCTGGGAGGGATAGAGCGGGCCAGGAAACAGCGATAGCAAGAACAAAATTAGTTGCCTCTGCCGGAAATCGAACCGCAGTCGTTTAATTCATATCCAGGTACTGAGCTAACCCAGATCGCTTATTGCTTTAAAATTGTATCAGATGTTTAGTTATTACTTATTTTGCTTCTTATTCCGGCGGTGCGGCTTCCGAATTTATGCCCGCAGACAGGACATTGAACTGAGTGTCTCTATAGCGTTCCTTAGTTTCTCAGGACAAAAATTGTGAATATGTTACGATCGCCCTTTTCCACATTTTACCCAAGTCATCGACTATTTTCTTCCTACAGTTCTACTCTAAATAATCCATGAATTTGGCAAATCATCTGTAAATAAACAGATGGAGAAACAAACGTCTAAGAAAATGTTAGATTTAAATGATCGTCTATTGGAATGAAAGGCCAAAGTACACATTGATAATCCAATAATTGACTCTCATTTGCTGACTTTCGGCATAACTTCTCTTTGAGAACTCCTGGACAATTTTCTGGTTTACTATGCAGTTTCAGTTCTCCCGCTCTTTCTATGAGACCTCTGGAAATGATGCAAGTCTTCAAGGGCATGAGGTGTTGTTATGCAGGCTTAGATGTCTTAATTTATTTCTTAAGTAAGAATATGGGAAACAAGAGAATTGTGATAGCAACTTGAAGCAAGTTCCATACCCTATGACGGATCTCTCAACTAACTCGAAAACTGCCAACGGCATGACAGATTAACCCTGTTATAATCTTGCATCAAAAAGACAACAAACCTGTCGAAACGAACTAAATGCAATCCTCCACGCTATTTTCACCGATTAGTCTTATGTTAGTTTCCCTAGAAAACTCTATAATTTTCAAGATAAAAATTATTTCGTAACTATTCGTTTAAAGTATAGGCCTACTGACGTGTAATGTAGAATACTGAGGAGTAAATGGTACATTAATAAGTGCAATGCTATTAAAATGTTAGGAAATAGGAGAAATTACTTGATATGGAAAGAAATGTGATTGCTTACGGCGAGAGGGTGGGAGATCCAGTGAGTGAACAGCACACATTTACAGCACGTGGCCTGCTGACTTGAAGATTTAACATTTGACGGAAGGAGATGTCAGTGACTGGGTAACCGCATGAGTTAGCAAACCATTCACTGATAATATAGGATTTGAGGTTCTCACAGCGGCGTTTATAAGGCCGTGTAGTCCTTGAAAGTCAATCGACGTTTCGGAGAAATATATCGCCTTTATATTCAGATCGAAGAAAAAGCCAAGCAATACACCAGCGTGAAAGCAAGTGGTAAGCAGTGCAGAGTATTAAAACAAATGCATGAATAAGCGATTTTATGGGCGAGTAAGAGATTTATTGCCCGAATAACTTAGAGTGAATTGGGGAAATAGCAGTGTTTTTGTTGATTTTATTACTTATATGTTTAATCCGCTCTCCGTATCTAAGATAATAGGCCTATGGCTTCAATATTATAGAATGAGTAAGGAATGATGGAATGGGAAGGATGTGAAAGGAAACGGCCGTTGAGTAATTGAAGTCAATGCTGTGGGTATT